TCCTAAAATAGGCCATTCATTGAAGGTGCGCCTTATAATCCGGTGCGCCTTATAGTGCGGAAAATACGGTAATTGGAAACCCAATTGTGAAATTTTGTTTTTTCAACAGTAGCGCAATATTGACATACATTTATAATGGAAACGCAGTCAGCGAGTCCAGGTATTGCCCGTTAGTCCACATGTCTATCTCAAAAAATATATTAAAATAGTTTTATTGCCAAGCCCTAATTTCATATACACTCTGATCTACCAACACTGTCATTTTAACAAAATGCTTTAACAACTTAATAAGAAGAACAACTACTAAGCTGGTGTTGGTATGAAAAGCCTCTTTAGTTTTAAAGTTTAGCAGCTATTTTACTTTTTTAACGTGCAGGAAAAAAAAAACATTTTCTTTCATCTCATATCTACAACTCAGAAAAGTTAACAAATCCGCTTGACCTCCAGACACAGATCTTGAGAAAGCAGCATTGCAATACAACTCAATAAAAGCCTTCACTAATTAATTAAGTCTTTACATTCCAGTGGGCAGATCTGTGAAGAGAAACCTCGACCTCCAGACATTCCCTGTGTCAACAAAAGAAAGATCCGGTTTCCTGCCTACATGCTATAACCCAACAATAAGCGGTTAGAGCTGTACAGACCCGCATGAACCGAGTCACATGCAGACGGTAATGTGACCACATTGATTATTTTTCATAGCATAATTCCTCTGGGAGCACTAAAGCGGTGAAGGCCAGGAAGTAAAGCTTCACTTTGCGTTTAAGCAACATGATCTCGAGAAAAGGTTCGACATCAACGACGAGCGACCAGAGAAAAGCCAGGACTCTGGATTCCGACGTCACTCTGAACCTAACCCAACAACTCATCTGATACGTTATAGTCTCAAAACATGGAGCCGGTTTGTGGTTCAGCTGATTAGCAGACTGATGGGTCAATCATGAATCAGGGCTATGATTCTTCTTCTTCTCTCCTTGGACAAGCAAGTGAAGTCCAAAGGTTTAATGAGATATTCTGGTCTTCTGTAAAAGCAGAGGAGCAAGTAGAAGTTTCTGGAACTGTGAGCCTGGTGCTGAAACATCACTGTCCATAAAATAAGTGTTATGGAATTTTTCTCTATGCCTATTGTGTTTACATCTATACTTTTAAGAGTAAAAGTATGTATTTTATCAACATAATGCTAAGCAGAACATACGTTGACAATATTCTGTTGTAGGTGGTGTCGATTTTTGAATCGGACCCACAGTGTGGACCACCGTCTGTCTGTGGTTCAGTATAAACGGGTTCACCCATTTGAAAATATGTTTTTGTAGTGCACATATTAAATATTCGAAAGAAAATGCTGGAATAACTAGCCACAATGCTTCTGGACTCGTTACTCTGAAGCAGCCAATCCAGGAGAGGCATTCGGTTTTCTTTGATACCGATTGGCTGTACTCCAAAGGGCGGATATAAGGAAGACTGTATCCTGCGTTCCAGTTATACTCAGACCTGGGAAATTCTAACTACCTGGTCGCAAAAAAAAAACAAAAAAAAACCGAGGTGCAACTCCAATTGCCCCCAGTTACGACTTGTAAGGCATTTCAATATGGCTACTCCCCGCTTCAACAGCTGTGCTGGAAACATGTTTATTTTTCAAGACAAGAATGCAAGAGTGCATTTAGAATCAATGTTGCATGTAACGCCTGCAGCTCTAAACTGAACAAATCCAAAGTGGTGTTTGCTGAAGGAAAGTAAAGCTTTAAAATAATGTTTGTAAGACATACTCTACAAACAATTGTTGAAATTCCCAATTCTTAACTAGAACAGCATTACCTGGAACGCAGCAAAGCAGAACTAAATACTGTTACAGTATCCTAATTTTGGCATGAAATTTTATTTCTACATGCCAAAAAGAGAAGTCTGGACATTTTTGTCAACATCTAACAAAGTACGGCTATTCATATACAATAATTTGAATACATTTACTTACTAAAACTATATGTCTGTCTGCCTACTAAGGGTAGCATTATGCAGGGCAGAAATGTTATATGAATTGTTCTCAACTCTTGTCCTGGGAGTTGCTTTTTGTTTCAGATGTTTTCCTGCTGCAACACTTAGAGTAGGTCTAAATAACGATTTAGTGTTATCAGACATTAGCTGTACTTAATACTCAGTTGATCCTTTTAATTAGCTTTGATAAGGTGGGTTTAAAAGTCCTTTTTTCAGAGAACATTGTCAAAGTAGTCATCAAACCATTCACTTAAATACTGTATCTTAAGAGCTGACAAACTTTTTATGAGTGGAAGGAATCTGAGTGGAGAGTAATGCTGCTATAAGATTGGATGTGGTGTGAATCGTACTGCAAGAGGAGGACACAGCATGCACACACTGATCACTTTCAATTCAACATCTTTCCCTTGATGGAACTTCAAAGTTTATGTTTTTCAACAGAGATCGTTCCAGACACAAAATATGTTGGCAGTAAAGTAAAACCAGCAAATGGTTTGGAAAGGATTGATCTCCACAGTATTTTAGCATAATACAGCTGAACTGGACGTTTACTTTAAAACATTATTCTAATTGATTTAGGTAGATTGCCATATCTGTGGGAGCTAATGGAGAAATAATCTCTCACTTAGGTTTCGTCATGTGTAAAAAAAAAAAAAAAAAAAAAAATTTAAAAAATTCTATGAATCTAAAAAGAGTCATACCCATACAATGACTTCAGCTGTTTTCACACCTGACAGTCCAGTAGACTTCATTGGAGGTCAATATTGCAACATTTGTTCCATTTTCAGCAGGAATGGATTGCTTTCACACCATCCTGTGTCAAACAAGCCAGACTCTGCTCTCTGAAAAACCTGTTCCCCTGTATTTAAGTTACATACCACAGCTTTAATTTCATTTAGGAGAGGGCAGGTCATTAGGGACATGGGTTAGAGCTGCTGCTGACCAACTCATCTGTTATTTTACTATCATTTTTAGACGTTACATTCCAAAAGTTAGCATGCATTAGCATGTTAGCTACCACAAGTTAGCAACACATGCTAACTTTTGGAAGATGGCATGTCTTGGAAAATGTTCTACAATGGTTTTTCCAACAAAGAAAATAAGTAATTTTCTTGTTGGAAAGAGATTTTTAACATTTTGCCATATAAATGGTTGCTTAGCAATGCTGTCTCCTCTTCAAAGGCTGAATCTAATTCAATGAATTTTCTTAAGCAGAACAGTTAGCACTAAATATATAGAGAGCCGGTCGTTTGCATTTTGTTGCCTCTAGGAGCCATAAAACAACAAGATTATAGTGGCTGGAACTGTTAATTCACGTGTGAACACAGTGTGGGTCTCTGCTTTGTTTGGCTGTCAGTTGTACTGTAAATCCCTCTTTCATATCCTTCAAAAATAAAAAAAGATTAAATAACACAGCCATTAAGAGCTAAAGCCATGTGAGGACAAAAGGGACAGTAAAAATGTATCTGAGTTTAGGATACTGGGTCACAACAGGACAAACTCCAGATCACCATTTAACTTTCTCTTTTAAACTCTAAAGTAAGAATATATAGATACGTCATTAGAAAGTTACATTTTGGAAACTGTTGTCGCACCTTGATCAGCTGTTGAGGTTGTTCACAATGCTGTATCTAAGCATATTTATAGAAAGTTAAGTGGAAGGAAGAAGTGTGGTAGCAAAAGAGTAGCAGCTACTTTAAGATCTGTTATGCAATACATATTTTTTTGTATCACACAAAAATCTATCTTAAGATTCTCTCTGTCATTAGTAAAACAGAAGACATTTTTTCTAAGATTAATATGATTAGCATTCTCTACAAACTGCTGGACTGGTTATGGTCATTATAACTAATGTGGCAGACACTATGTTCTGTAGACTTCTGGAAGAAAAACAAATGTTTATATATGGTGAAAAAAAGATGAACTCCTATACAAAAATATTGACATTTATTCTTACTGTCATTATACTGCTCTCCTCCACTATTACAGTAATTACAGTTATCTCAACAATATTTTTCCTGATAACGGTAAATGATACGATTTGACATTTTGAAAATAAATGAGCTAAATGGAAACACCAATTAAAAAAAAAAAAAAAAAAAACTTGTTTTGCGGCTTGGCTGAGTTTTTTTATTATTATTCTTGCTGTATTGAAATTGGTTTATTTCACAAAATTGCTATGGAAACACTTTTTTCGCATCACACGAATCACATGATCAACAAACAGGATGTTGTAACTGTCAAAAACCACAAACAAGAAGAAGACAGGAAGTGGTTGGAGGATGAAGCCGTGGTGTGTTGTTTAATATGAACAAACGTATTCACGCGTGATTTTAATTACGTTTCTTATTTAACGGAAACACAGCAATTGTGAAATTGTGTGGTTTATTTACATTAGAAAAATACTGAGAGTATGTACTTCTGATATGTAACATATGTACTTCAGTCAGCAGTCTGATGGCTCATGTTTTACATTTTCATTGACGGTACACAGTAAAGCTTTGTTTTCCAGGATTTATCCAGCGTCTTTCTGCCCTCGCTTTCTCTTCCACTTTGCCCCGGCGTGAACACGACCATGAGTGATCGGCTCCTTCTAATGTTGCCATATTCTGTCACCTCTTGGTGACTTATCGTCTCTTTTCTCCCTCTCCCCACGGAGCTCCTGACCTCTCCTTTCTCCTCTAATAGGAATGGATGATAGCTGCAGTCTCCTCCCTCCTTCACATCACTCTCTCCCTGCGCACACACACACACACACACACACACACACACACACACAACCCTGGAAAACACACACAACCTACAGCTCACCGTTCCAACTCTTCCTTTGCAGCTTTAGGGCTGCTTGTTAATATTTACCTAGAAGGAGTGGAACCTAATTCCACCACTTCAACCAATGTAGGTTAGAAACACAAAACTTGATTATCAAAAACATAAAAAGTCTTTATGAGACTAAAAAAGGAATAATAAATAAACCAATGAATACATAATACTTGACATTCAAAGAGAGAGGGATTTTCATAATTAGAACTATGTCACTGTCGTCAAAAAACGCTTAATTTTTTTCAAATTATTCTCAGAAATTTTCTAGGAAAAAAAAAAAAAAGATATTTTCCTACCATATTTTCCAAAGGTGGAAGATATGATAAAAAGCAACTCTGAAATTTTGAGATTAATCTCTGAAATGTTCTTGGAAAAACAAAACAAAAAAAATCTTGGAAATTTCTAAGCTTCAGAATATTCGAAAATTCGTAAACTCAGAAGTTTTTTCTAAAACACTTATGAGATTAGAAAAAGATGAGTAAATATCACTTCACTTTAGTCAATTTTTTGTTAACACTAAATTAAAACTAAGTCCAGGGAATTTGGGGGTGTAAAATAACAATGTGGACTTTAATCGACTAAATTAAGAGGATTTCACCTTTTTTAATTAGTTACAATACACACTTTATTTAAATAGGTTAAGGGCCTTTTGAGGTAAAAACATTTTAAAAGTTAACTTATTTAATTTGAAGTGATGCGACAGAAGGGATTGGCCAACAAAGTGTCCCACAATGCATTGTGCCACCAGCAGCAGCAACTAATGAAAGCAGGAACTGTTTCAAACAAGTCATTTTCTCAGCATGCAAGTAGTTTCTAGTTAAAAAAAAAAAAAGCTCCTTCTCAAAGCTCTGGAATTTATCTATATGCAAAAAAAAAAAAAACAATTAAATAATTACAAAATTCTCAGATTTTTAAAGTTAGCTTAAGTTATGCTCACTAAAATAGCACAACATAATGTTAGTCAATTTAATGAAAACTAAAAATTTAAGGAGAACTAATTAGGTTTTACAGTGTAGAAAGAGAGCTATTTGTTCTACCATTAAGAGAAACATTTTCTTCATTTTTCTAACACTTTTCAATTTTTACAATGTGAAGAGGTTTCTGTTTCTCCCTCCGTACTGAAATACTTGAGCCACTTCTGATGCCTGAGTAACTTTCTTTAGGCTGCAGAGGGTAGATACTGAGGGAGGGGGAACTAACTGACAGCCAATCTAAGCTGGTGTCAAACCACAGCTTGTACTCTCCACCTCCACCGAACCTCATTTCCTCCGACTTTGTCCGTCTCTCTCTTTTTTCCTAGGCACAGTTAGATTAAAAAAAGAAACCATTTATACTTCCATTTGTCCTCCCTCTTCATTTATAGCCCCTCCTTCACCGAGTCACTCCCGCTCTTCCTCTTCCTCCTCATTTCCATTACTGCACCCAACCATTCCTCAGCTGTTTTATTGTCATCACGTCTCTTTCACCTTTACCTACTTTCTCCACTCTCTCGGCCCGTCTCTCGTTCCATCAGATCTGACGTCCGAGGCCGAGGCGGCACTGACAGCGGTCTGCTTGCACTCCAGACTCGCTGCGCTCTGTTCTTAAGCTCTGCACATCGAAGTATCTCCAGCTTTCACTGCAGCAGGGCTATGGGACAGGAAGCGGTCATTTTCTGTGCTTCAAAGCACGACAGAAACTACAAACTACTGAAGAATCGGTGAATATAATGCAGCATCGATATGGTCATGTAGAAAA